TGGCTTCGGGTAGGAGGAAAGCAAAAATACTTTGTTTGTACGGTGATAACTTCTTCCAAATACTCATCAAAGTGAATTCAAAATCTTAGAATTACATTTCTAAGATTTTGAACGCAATTTTTACTGGCAAATTGTTAGGTTAAAAAAAACTTTGTCAGAAAATTTTACAAACAAACATTTATATTATTTTAAATATTTAAAATTTTACTTAAATTTTGCTTAAATTAAATTTTAATCGTGTTTCAAAAGCAATTACTTTAGTCGAACGCACCTTTAATTTTATTAACCGTTAACAGGGTAAAACGTTAGCCCGTGGTCTAATATAAACGCGTTAAACACCACGCGTAGCTTCATATTAAAACCTCTTGATAAGTGGTTAGTAATTTAATGCTGACACTATCAAATTCCTCGTTTCTCAAATTGCGATGTAAATTCAAGAGCAAAACCTATTACAATGCAGTTTAATTGGCGATACAGAATATTAATCTGGACAATGATTTTCACGAGGTCAACACAATCATTTCGCATTAGCATAATCAATGTATTGCTGAATACTGTCTGTAGTTTTAAACGCGATATATATTAGCTAAACTTATTTGAAAACTTTTTTTAACTTCGGCCTGACGTTTCGGATGCTTTACAGCAGCCGTGACCACGTGACCATGACCACAAGTTAAAAATGATTTTCAAATAAGTTTAACTAATATATATCGCGTTTTAACCCGTTAAAGTGTTTTATTTAAAGTATCCATGTTATTATAAATTATTTATTACAAATAAAAATTGGAACTCCATTTTATATAAAAAATTGCATATTCTCGTTTCGAAATAATAAAAGAGATTTTATGAATAAAAACGTAACTCTTGTGGTTGGTATTGTCTACAATTATTTTTATTGTTTTTTCTCATTGTTCTCGCTACGTCTTTACCTAAGCCAAGATAAAGGCTACATTATGGCGTAATTAGAAAGAATATAAAAGTTTGTATCAAAGTGCACAGTGTTAGTTGGCAACTTGTTACCAACGAGTTGTAGATAGCTGCCTGAGTAATTGTACAACTTCTAACACAGCATGGTAACTTTGCGGTGAAACTTTACTTGAATATTTCATACATGTTATTAAAAGGTACGGTTTCCTAATACGAGTAGAAAAGAACAGATTGTTAATTATTATATGAATTTAAGGCTTTAATATGAATAAGTATGTTGGTTTTGTTTCGAGAGCGCGTGTATAAGTGAAGGAAAAATTAATTCTTAATACATAGTTATTATACTCGCAATTTTTATAATAAACAAACGTATAATGCAGTAATATATAAGATGTTGTTGATGTAAACACCTATATATAAGATGTTTTATTTTAAACACATAAAAATGCTTAAGTAAGGGTGGCATAGTAAGATGCTACAAAATAAAATTAATTAATTAAAGTGGAATCCCTTTCCCTCCGCGAACACATTTCTGCGTCCTTTTCACTGGTCAGTTTAATTTCGAGGCAAGTAGTTGATCAGTATTTATTGCCCTGCCCGACTAAAATAATCCATTGGTTTCCCTGGATTCAAACCCAGGACCTTTCGAGCTAAAAGCTAGGCACGTTCAACCATAGTTACAGATGCGGTCGATCAGTGAATAAGTGTTTGGATATGATTAATTTCGGTACACGAGTTAGTCATAAGATAATTTAAATTTTCAATGCTGTCCTTTATCGTGATAACAATGAGACCTCCTATTATTAGACCCCCCTCCGTTCGCCCCGTCTTCCCCCTGGCAAGCGACGATCGATACATCCCGAGCTTTTAAAATAAATATATTCTACCTCTATACTTGTAATATCGTTTGAAGAAAAAATTAAAAAATATCCTGTGTTTTATTACGACATTTATAGTTTTATGTATTGATATTTATTTTATTCAGTATAATATATAAAATTTTAATGGGTAGTTGCATATTTGAATCTTTTAATAAGGATGGAATCTTTTTTTCTAATTTTGTCCATAGTGTTTAAACAGCGACCGACGACGGAGTCTCCCCTTTCTCGGTCAGAAGGGACCTGGTCTACTTCTTCACAATTTTATATGCTTATGCTTAACTTAACTTATCATTACTATTATTATTATTATTAAAGATATTTGTTACGTGAGGGTAACGCTGGGTTAATACTTCAATGAACATTTTGTGTTCTAGAAAATGGGGATATCTTATGGCATATGTATCGAATGTAGAAACAAAGTCTTATGTTTTGTCAAACATGTTAAACCTTTTATTGTAACCGTTAATTTAAAGAATACAATGCATAATTATTTCGTTACGTAATCCGTTACGTTGCTACTTTGTCTAGATTCCAATTTCATTGTTAAATAGTACTTTAGGTCAGTTTAAATTGTGGTTTGTCACAAGACAATTAAATTTAGATATTAGGTTCTTATGGGGAGATTCCTTCCCTGTCCTTGCCGTATCTACTGACTAAAGATATTAAAAAAATATCTTTGAACTATTTGTAAGCTGCCCAGCTCTATGTATAGTGTTTAAAAGCAATCTAAGCTTTTGCAAGATATCTTGCATACAATAATTTATCACGCAGCTATCACAACTTTTCACAACTGCGCGGTTCCATAAATATTAATAATCTGACGTAATCGCTTGTCATCGTTTGACACAAGATGTCGATACATCTTGTGTCAAATGACAGTATCAGGGCGTGATGAGGAACTTTCAACAACCAAAGGAATTTCACCTACTATCATTAACAATCACTCACAATATTAATATGTTAATTTATTTTGACAATATAATACCATATTTATACGCATTTATAAAGTATGTTTGTTTGAACGCGCTTATCTCAGAAACTACTGGTTCGAATTGAAAAAATATGCTTGTGTTCGGTAGTGCATTTATCGAAGAAGGTTATATAGCCTATAAAACAATGGGAAATGTGGAAAAAAGGGAAAATTATTAATCCTTGAGGGTACGCTGCGAAAACTGTTCAAGATAAGTAAAAAATATATGTAAGAACGATTCCTCTTTAAGTGACCTAAAAAATGTGTATATATATATATCTTTTAAGATTAACTTGCAAGAACGACGGGACGCGGTCGACGTGGTGGGTAACAACTATAATTTATAAAGATGAGAAGATTTACAAAAACTAATGTTGATGTCCAGCAGAACTATTCTACTCGATCGAATTCGCTGACACTGCTAGTAATATAAAAATATTGTTAGGTACTGCTAAATGTATCTCATTTATTTAGCACAAACAAAGCAGTTTCTTCATCCTAATCAGAATATGTTTTTCTTAATAACTTAACAATCATATATATTATTATATATCATCGCCACAACAGCTTGCTAATGTATTGTATACCTGTACTCGTTAAAAGCCATTTATTAATGAACCTAAAAGCCTTCATTAATCAAATAAGAGAGGCACTCAACTCATCTGACGCTTGTATTCAAAGATCACTTGAACAAAATGGCCGAAATATTTCGGCATTTCGCCTTGAATGAACATTATTATTTCGGTATGAGGGGGAAATATAATTTGGGCGTTTTTGCGTAGTCACTGCTGAGAATTCGGTTGGCGTTCGGAAGCTATTTTGTCTATTCTTAATCTACTTAATAATATAAATGTAGCTTCTCTACATAATGGTGCTAAGAAACAGCTTGGCACTAAATTTATGAAGGACTAGCAATAATTACTTCAAAAATTCATTCGTCAAATTGAAATAATCTGTTTATAAACAGTCAATAAAATCGATAAAAAGCATTACTTTTAACAAATCGTAGAAAAAAATAATCTATCCGAAAGTGCCTTATTATCACAAATCGTGAGTTTTATTTGATTTTAATATAAAAGTTTAATAACATGTTTAACATAATTTTTAATGTCGACATGAAAATATGTTAACATAATTTTTTATTCTTAAATTCGCCTGGTCTTGTATTATTATTTATTTTATTTAACTTCTTTAACATTATAATTTTGTTTTACAATAATTAAACCGGTAAAGAAACCGTCTTACGGTTTATGCTAACCGGCTTTGGTACCTTAAGATATATTACGTCTATAAAAGCTCTTTAAAATCATCCTGCATCTATCCGGCCTATCTAACAGCATGTCGTGCGTATTACTGTCCAAGTCGTTCAAGTACAGAGGTAACATGTACTGCCAGCATGTAAAGCCAACATGTAAAGCACTGTCCCCGTGAGAAAAAACTTCTTCCTGGTTTGGTGGATCCTTGTCGTGATAATAAATGTTTGTTGCTTTATTTTACGGTAAATAGTCACGGTATTAAAAAATGTATAAAAATGATAAATTTTGTCCACACTTGTATTTGGCTGCAGAAAAAATCTACTGTCTTTGTCTTTCTAACATCCATCATTATTTAAAATAAAAGTAACATAATATATAAGTTTCGAAGAGATCAAATTTAGAACGGACATAAATTATTAAAGAAAGAAAAAACTTCGAGACTAGGCATGATATATTCATGATATTAGACCCTTATCATCAATAAATTTTGCAGTCTAGACGTATCCGATACGTCCATATAATATTTTATTACTAAATTGAAGTTTATTTTCTACTTTTTGCCCAATGTGTGAGGAAAAATTTGTTATTAGTTTGTTATAAAGCTACTTTAGTTTCATATATACACTATATATGAAATATACACTATTTTTTTAGTACCATTGTCTTCAATACTTTCTTTAGTGTACGCGACTAATACACATTTAAATGAAACATTCTAACGGTACAAAACGGTAAGTTTAGATATATATAACTGATCGCAAACTATCGCGTTTTAAACCGATATAATGTTTTATTTAAAAGCATTGTCTTTGTAATTAACGTATGTAAATAAAAGACTTTAACGGTTTAAAACTCGATATATTTGTTAAACTTATTCATAAATGATTTTTAACTTTAAATCTATTCATTGTACTTTTAAACGTGTCTCATTTTGACAATATATTTAACGATTGTCTTTTGTTTCAGGAATTAGCAGCATCTACGCCAACACAGCGTAATTGGCGCGGTATTCTCATCGCGTTGCTAGTTATTGCGGCTGTACTCGGACTGATAGTGTTCAGCATAGCATTGCTGACTCCAACGGGCGATGATGGAAGAGGCCGTGGACGCAGACCGACTCTCAATGATGTCCTTACGGATCACTATAAGCCGTTCAACGGAACTTGGTTATCAGGTAAGTCTGAAAATAAATTGAACTATTGGTTCTGTTGTCCTGTATTCTATTCTAGCCCATTTCCTTGGTTCAGAACTTGTCGCCCTTAATGCACTGTTAGGCAATGAATAGTTAGGTAAAAGGGTACATGAACAATTGAATGTTATAAAAATTCTAAAATTTCAAATTTTACTCGTTACGATAACAAACACGATTCTTAGATAACCATAAATTTCACAAGTCTGGTCACTCTCTTAAGATACTCTGGTGAAGTCTATAAACATACAGTAATAAAACATACTTAACATCAGATAACACGACACGAACTTTTTTCATTACTCTCACAAAATATCATTTGAACACGGGGGTCGTTCACAGCATGTAGGGTTGTCAGTAATACTGTCATAAATGATCCAATATTGTACTTTTTCTTACTATATATACTAACTTTTACACTTGTTTATACAATTGACGATTATGAAATTTATTTACTAAATAAACAACATTTTTTTTAAAGTACTCCATTACTTTGAATGAAAAAAATAAAATTAAAAAAGTTAAATATCAGCGAAGACACAAACAAAATTATATAAAAAAAATAAAAAACAATCTAAGATAAGGAATACCGATAAATTGTACCAGATTGCACAGTACACTAAAAGTGACGAATAAGCTCAGTTTGTAGAACAACGGTACAGTGCGCTGTTTGTGTAAAAATAAACCACTCTATCTAGAGAGGTTTTTTTCTGAGGCTACGGACAAAGCCCTATTATCCTTTCAAATTAAAATATTATTGTAGAGCGGACAACCCTACTGAGACCTAACCGTAAGCAGCAAAATTACGAATAATTTACCTTTGAAACGGTTCTAGCATTTAACGACTTGATTTTGAACTGAACGGGCGCGGTGTAAGGTTATTGCACTTGTTAGTTTTGCCAATTAGAGCTTTTATAAATTATATAGTAGATACAGTAGACGAAGACTTTTATTAGCGCAATTATGAAAGCGTTGTTTACTTTACCTCTCAACGATACACAAAATAGAAATTATGGCATGCAAAATTTTATTAAAATCAGCGACACTTGATTTTCACATTATAAAATACACTTTGTTACATTATTAACGTTATTAAGTGGTAGCTATAAACATAAAACCGAATTACATATGATTTACTAATTTAACTAAGTACAATATAATTGAATATCAAACAATACAATTGAAGTTTTAAGAATGGTAAACTCTTATTACTAATTCCCAAATCAAAGCGTGGAACGAACCAGATGAAAAAAACTGCCGCGTTTATATCGTCAAGTTTTATTATAACCCTTTATCTACTGATACTAAAGTGATGGCAATGCCATACAACGTTTGTATAATGTTTCAGTTTCTTTTAACTTTAGTGGAGTTATTATATCTAATTTAATACTTAAACGTTCCACATATAGCTTAAGAACGTGTAGGAGTTATGTTAAACTTGTTTAAGGTATTTTAATTAAATGCATATTATAATAAATCACGAGTTCACATCATAAAATTCCACTCTATAATATATACTAAATTAAGCTAAGCCTCGAGGAACGAAGTGTTTTCAAAAGTAAATTAAATAAGCTCATTCCAACGTGGAGCATAGAATTAATAATTTTATTTCTTGGCATTTTGTACTGAGCGATTTAGGTTAACATCTTTTAAATCTACGCACTTATTAAAATACTAACGCTATTATTGCTTTATATACTGCGAGCGCGTTTCATTTTACTTATATAGATATAATGTAAGTTTGAAGGTGTAGAGTTGTTTCGTAACCGAAATTAAAGCTTTGAAAAGTTTGTAAAAGCCATTTTTGAGATTGTACAATACCCTAAAATAATGCATAATTACAAATAGTTTAATTAGAAATCGATTTTAAATTGAAAAAAAATCCAACACGGTAGGACTTGAACCGGCATTCACAGCGTTCCGTGCACTAAGCAACTGACACAAATATATAAACAATTTAAATCTAAATAATTAATATCTTTTAGACACTGTCTATAGTTTACGCGAGTAGTACACATTGAAATAAAACACTTTAACGGTTTTAAACGCGATATATATTAGGTAAACTTTTTTGAAAATTATATTAGCTACGGCCCGACGTTTCGGATAGTCGATGGATGGATCCCCGTGACAACTGCTGCTGCAAAATATCTCAGTTTTATTTGAATTACAACAAGTTACCCACAAGAATTCGAGTGTGTGAGAAAGGGTTTATCTCTTAACAGAGCATCTTTAGACCCAGGCTATAGAACAAATAGATGATCGAAAATACTAACATATGAAACAGTGAGTATACAAACTGGAACAAATAAGAAAGCGCTGTATGTAAGTGTGCAATAAGCTATAATTCCAATAACACAACACATATTTTCGTATTTTAGTAATAGACAAGCCAACGTTATAAGCATCCCATTAAGAAGGTAATTAACGCCTCAGTGTAATTGCTCTGCTGAAAATAAAACAAAATAGATAAAGTCTATGTAAAATTTGTTTATAAAAAAAACTTGTTTCTTTATTAGCTATTGTAGGTAAATAAAGAAATAATATGCCCCATTTATTTTAACGGCAGGCTTGATTGTGTAATAGCTACCAACGTGTCGTGGATTCGATCCCCACCTTGCTTTGCTAATAATTATTCTAAAACATGTTGGACTTCTCGAAATCTGGATATTTAATGGGTGGTAGGAATATCGAAAATCCGCCCGTGTCACGTACCACCGTCCACTGATGAAGCCGTGTAGTTAGCATTTGGATTTCAGTCTGTGGATTTCGGAATATCCAAAGCCAGAAGATAGACAACGTATCTTGTTTCGATGTTATATAGCTGGGGTATTTCACCAAGTTCTTCATCAAGTGAGCTATGCTTGTCCGTCCTTCTGTATCATAAAAAAGCAGTTTTAAATAAAAAAAAATCCATTTAGATTGAAAAGAATTGATGATACGAGCTGCTGATCTAACGGATTTGCCGATACTAAAACATAGTTAATACATAGAGAAAACAGTAGCCCATCCCTAACGGAGTAGAAATATTTGTGTAAAGGCTTAACCGATCGAAAAGGGTAAGAATGGGATTGTGATAAACGACCTGTGTTTAATGGTATATTTACTTTGCCTAACAATGGATTATTTGAAAACATAGTTACGCAAATACGTGATACGTTGCTATGCGTAAAGCTATTCTCTAACTACAATATGTGTGTTTGTGCATATGCAAATAATTACTGGTTGAGCTAAAAAAAATGTTTGAAAATTCCTAACATAGTAAAAAACTTGTTGTGTACAAAATATTACTCTGGTTAAGGAGACATGGATCGCTTTAAACGATGGACATTGTTAAAAATAACCCTGTCTATTAAAGCTTGGGGTTAGCGATCGATAGATAAAAATCTTAGGCTGCAAATTCATGCCACATAATGACAATAGTGAGATATTGACAACCCCGCTTAGTTCTTAAGCTAATCAATATAACATAGTTACCACTGGATATTATAAAACTTGCACTGGACATTATTGTCACTGAATATCAATTTTACGTTAGTTTTTCATACTGTGCTCACAGCTAAGGCATGTATTCCTAATCAATCAGATAAATATAAGGTTCTTGCAAGCATTGTACAAATGTGACTACATTTGTATCTCAGCTAAAAATCACAAATTCCTTATCCCCTTTCACATCCTAACAAACCCCTATATACCACAACAGATACAAATTAACACAAAGAACCAGATCAACACATATACATGTAAATAACTCGTGCAAGCAACAAACCTCAGTCTTAATATGAGAAATCCGAATAAAATACACATTATGTTCAAGCTCAAAAAATATTGTTTCTCAGATAGGCTTTACTTTTTAAAATATTTTTACAATAGAATAACGTTTGCTTGTAAATAGTAGTAATGTTTGAAAACTTTTATATTTTTTGCACATGATGGCACTATGCAAATAAAAAGCTCGAAAATAAATTGAAAAATATTATGACTCGGGCAATACTTGAAACGGCATCGTCAGCGATCCGTGCTATTGCTATAACCAATTGAGCTACCATTTAGTAATAATAATACGATATACCAAATTACAATATCTCGCATTTCTTATCGAAATAATCGCTTCGTATATAATAAAACAACCTCATTTTCCTATGAAAATATACATTCGTTTAACTTAAAGCTATTTGTCCCGGAATGAAAACGTTACCCCGGAGTGTTGGTGTAACGCTATTTACACAGATAGCTTCAAGAAACTTTGGACGTCTTCGAGGCAATTTACTAAAATCACCTGTTCATAAATGACTTTTTTATGCCATACAGCCCTCGTTTATCTACCTTCTTACATCTATACTAATATATAAAGCTAAAGAGTTTGTTTGTTTGAACGCGCTAATCTCAGAAACTACGGGTTTCAATTGAAATCCTTTGTCTTAGTTGAAGTATATGTCGAGGAAGGCTGTAGGCTATAAAACATCAGGCTACGCGCATTATGGAAATGTGAAAAAAAACGGTGAACTTTATTCATCTTTGAGGATTGTCATCTTTCGCAGCGCATCCAACGGGGTTTCCGTTAGGTGTGCTGCAGGGATGAATACGATTGAAGATATTGAAAAAATACGTAGCCAGGTCAGCCAGTGAAGTAAAAACCATACGTACATTAGCTAAATATTGTTGTTACTAAACGTCAAAACGTTAATACTGCGTGATATTTTTTAACTACGACATGACATTTCGGATGCTGTACAGCAGTTCACAGCCAACTCCTCGATTGCTCGAAGAATTATGATATAGTTTAATATACATCGCGTTTTAAAACGTTGAAGTGTTTCATTTAAATATATTTCATTTTGAACCAAAAAAAGATACAACTTATGCATATTTGTAATATACACTGTACAAATTACTCAAAACTGACAGAACTAGATTTGAAACCGCTTTGCACTCAAGTTACCAGTTCTCAGACTTTAACTCGGAGTCTCAAAGGCATTCGTGAAAACTGAAAACCTACAACCGTCTTCGTACTCGACAAGCGATTGTAAGCCTTATTTTATTGCACTACAGTTCAATTACAATAAACGCGATATACAAGCAAAATTGTCTCTTAT